CGGGCCCGGGACGGGTTGTTGCACTTTTTTTTTTCCCTTTCCCTTCCGCGTTCCTAATAATCATAAAAAGAAAAAAAAAAAAGTGAGAAACCTTTTGTATCCGGGGTCCTTTATCAAAAGATTTACGAGACGCCAAACTGTTAGGGCAGTAATTATAGCCCCCATAAATTTAATTGCCCTGCAGTGGCTCTGGGCCATGTGTCTTTGAAGCTTTTCTTCTAACCCAAATGCCCATCACCATTTTTTATTGCTCCTCGATTGTCCCCACTGTCGTGGGGGCTGCGAAACAATTTTTCTTGCCGTTATGTATCTTATTTGAACCTGGTGTCAAGTTATTATATAATGATTATGTTCAATCGCTTCCCCCCTCCCTTTCTTTCCCTCTGCGTGTGTGTGTGTGCACGTTCAGTCAATCCCAATTACAACGGAGGGGAGCCCAAGAGGTCTCGCACTGCCTACACCAGGCAGCAGGTCCTGGAGCTGGAGAAGGAGTTTCACTTTAATCGCTACCTGACCAGGAGGCGACGCATCGAGATCGCGCACACGCTCTGCCTCTCCGAGCGCCAGGTCAAGATCTGGTTCCAGAACAGGCGCATGAAATGGAAGAAAGACCATAAACTGCCTAACACCAAGATGCGCTCCTCGAACCAGTCCACACTGAGCCAGCAATCCAAAGGACAGACACAGGGCCACCCCCATCCTCTCGATGGGGCTACACCCAATGCAGCCGCGCTATAAATATTACTTTTTAAAAAATATATATGTACACATATATATATTTACCCATCAGTTGGGCTTTTCCAGCTGCCCGTGCTGGTGTCAGGCCATTTGGACCAAATAACTGTATAAAACAAACCACAGCAGAAGGAGAAAAGAAGAGACGTGCCCAAGAACGGGTACATGTTTAAACCAAAACCTGGACGATTGTCTACATTGTATATAGATAATGCCTCCATGCCCGTCATTTCTTTTCTATTTATGGAAAAAAAAAAAAAAAAAA